GGTTTCTATTTTTACTTCCCTGATTGTGTGTTTTTCTATAGAATTGATCACCAATTCTTTGAGATTGTAACAGAACGTGTGGCAGGAGGATAGCAAGAAGGCTTGTGACAGAAGCACTGAGAAGACCAGACACAATGAGTACATTTAAAACTAATACTATTTCCCTTGTTCTTATAATGGTCCTTGTTACAAAACAGTTTCTACAATTCATGTGGCTTCTGGGGTGCTGAGCATTCTCAACAGCTATTGCTTTAGTGGCAGCACCCTTCAATAGTAGTGGATTGAAATATCACCCTTGAGGACTAGATGCCCTAGCCAATATGAACCAGTCAGAATACCGGCTGTGTCAAAGTAAAATGTCCATTATTTAATGCAAACTTGATTTCACAGAATCTGGCGAATAATTTCACTGACATGAGTAAAGTAAGTTTTGTAGCACTTGGTCCATTATCTACTCTTTGGCTAGGTACAGACATTCAAAAAGCCCAAGGTGAAATCAAACTTAAGTTACTCACTTTTCTGTAAGCGGTATAGTTTAGATTGGTAGCAAACAGAACACAGCGTTGCCCTTCAGTGGGTGGACGGGGAGGGTGATCTTAGACCAGGTTCTGCCATTTTTAAACTGGTTTATGTACGCTGAAATTCTGTTCTGTTATGGGCATGACCAGTTTCCAATCACTTATACCTATAAAGATATATGTCTGTGCCTGTATCTGACCCATATATACTTTAACCTAAATTCAAAATCACTGTAGAGCTAATGTAGCTACAGAAGCCTAATTTGCATAAAATGAACTTTTCCACCCTGGAAAACTTATACCACCCTCCAGCTCTCCTGTGCAATATGAAGTTTCATTTCTACCTGGGAGAAATTGTACAAACTTTATATTCTCCTTTGCCTGAGGAAGGGCACATGATCCTGAAAGCTTGCAAATCTTTTTTTTGTTTGTTTTGGTTTTTTTGCAAGTATCTAGTTGGTCTAATAAAAGATATTGCTTCTACCATACTGACAACTTTGGCTTTTTAGACCAACACAGCTAGAGCCTTTATCTTTGAAACATGAAGATATTGTAATTAGCCATTTCAAAATGAAAACATCATAATTCTCCAAAAAGGAAGCAAAATTCAACACCCTGAGACCTGGAAGATAACACCCCAGCTCCAGCCTTTTGTTTCAAGCCAAATTTGCATGCTCACTGAGCAGCCTTAACACAACAGAACTTCTTTGCCCAAGAAAACCTTTCCATCACCAGTCCTCCTGTGAAATATGAAACAGCTTAACAAGAAAGAAGCATAATTCAATATCCTACTTGCCGTCAGATACCTTTGAGGTAAATAGACTGATCCAACTTTTATCTGAGCCTAATTTGTATAAAATGAACTTTTCCAGCTAGGAGAACTCACACCACCCTCCAGCTTTTCTGTGCAATATGAAATTTCATTTCTACCTGGGAGAACTGTTATAATCTTTGCATTTTCCTTTGCCTGAGGAAGGGTACATGAGTGTGAAAGCTTGCAAATAAAACTTTTTCTTGCAACTATCTAGTTGGTCTTATAAAAGATATTGCCTCAACCACACTGGCTGCTTTTACAGAAGCATGCTAAATTCTACTCTTACTCACTGTGAACAAAAATAGCTCTGAAATTCTTACTTCAAAATCTTAGTTATTGATACTGATATAAGAGGCAGAAGAAAAACAGTAGGTTTATAGATCCTAAATTGAGTTTGTATGACAGAGTTAGAAAAAATAAATTCAGCAAGCGATTTTCATATGAAATAAATGATAAAAAATAAAAGGGCATGTCTTTTTTGCAGTCATTTTCCTGACTAAAGCTGCACTTCAAAACAAGAGTAAAGTGTGATGAAAAATACATGCGATATGTGTATACAGTGTTTGTTAACCAATGTAAATATGTCCCCAAGAATTTGGATTCACTTAATTATAAAGCAAATGTCAATGTCTTCAGTTTCTTTGAGTTCAGCCTCAGAAAACATTCAGTAATATATTTTTGTCTTGGAGTTATGTCTACAAAATGTATCTGTAAACATATATTGACACAAAGACTGATGGGCTGTTTATATTAGAGCTTGGATCATTCTGGAAAACATTCTGAAATGTTTGAACAGAAAAGAAAAGCACTTCTGAATTCACTGATTTCCAAGGTGGGGTTTTTCCACGTATGTTTGCACGCTGATAAGGCTGCTGTCTCTACGGGTCAATGTCTAAGTTCTAAGGTGTATAAGAACCTGGAACCACTTTGCCCACTGACTGGTAGTCTGCTCCAAGCTCCAAACCCCTTGTGTTGTAGTTGACAGTCATCTTACAGGCTTTGAGGAACCAAAATTTCACCCTGATATCAATCCATGCATATAACAAGCATCTAGCTACATCAGCATATTACCTTTATCAGTCAGCAAACAGCTACAGTATCCATTAACATCAGTCCCTGATGGAAACCATTGACGTTTTTAAGAGTTGTGACCAAGCTGCTTAAGGACCTGAACCTGCAATATAATGAACATCCTAACTTCCTGTTGAACCTGATGGCAGCTAAAGACACTCAGGTCATCAAAGAAGTATTCAAGATTAGGGGATTTCAAAACCTCTGCTTAAATTCAGTGGGTATTTTAGGTGAATAATGGAAGCAGAGTCAGTCCTCCTGTGGGTAAGGCATGCTATCAAACTGAACAGGGCTATTACATAGGTTGCACATAGACAGTGAGGCCAGGTACAGACAATATACTTTTATTGGTATAAATGATCAGAAACTGGTCTATACCTTTAACACAACAAAAGCTCAGCACACATATACTGGTTTAAAAATGGCAGAGCCTGGTCTAAGATTTGCACCCCCAGACACACCCACTGAGGCTAGGGGCAGACATTCAAAAAGCCTGAGCCTAAATTGATTCAATCTTTGCAGGTTAGTCCAACCTGGCTAGGCTAAACAAGTTTGTAACCACACAGACATCCCCTCTGGACTGAAAAAAAGGCAGGCACATGCCTGCAGTGGCTCAGGCTAGAAGCTGGGAGGGCACTTGAGCAGCCCTCCCTTCCCTTCTACAATGCTGACCTGAGAGGGGTATCACCAGGGCACGGAAGGGGTGTAATCTCTGGCCTAGCCTAAAGGGTGAATGTGAGTTTTGTTCACTACTGATGTCAACTACACGGCTTACAGAAAACTGCATCACTTAGAATGATTTCCACTTTGGGCTTTTTGAATGCTTGTACCTAGCTTTAGAAACAGATCCAAAGCCCATGGAGATTTAATGACTGCATAAAGGTCCTGGTCCATTTTTAGAATGACTCTGAACTAATGTATCTCTAATTTTAGGGGTCCAGATTTCTGTAACCTTGATCTGGAATGTAAATTATTTTGCCTTTACAGACTAAGGGCTTTGTTTTGAATTGACTGACTTTCACTTCAATAACATGAGTTGCTCATGAGTTAGCCCTTGGTCATCAGTTAGCCCTCACTGCCACCGGTATGAATAGAATAGCAAGGGCTGCAAGTCAGCTGAGGATTCAAGAGGGAAAAAAAATAGAATTTATTATTTTTTAAAAGATGAAACCTGCAAAAAGAAGCAAGGAGTAATATGCTAAAGCTGATTTCATCTGCACTAAAAATCTGAAAAATAAATGAAAATAATTTCAATTCTGAGCTGAGATCTTGCATCACCTTTCACATCCAAAAGCAATTTTTATATTGTTTAATAGTCCCTGAAGAGAAGACTTAGCATGGAAACATTGATACACCTTTATATCAAGAGTGGTATGTTGTTCAACTGAAAAAAGAAGTCCAAGATGAAAGTGACTTCCCATTTTATCTGTAGTTTTTCAAAATATGTTTTCAATTACACTAACCATGGACTTAATTATCTACGGCTGCAAATCACTCATCTGTTCACAGTTCACTCATGATATCAAGATGACACTTTGTCAGTGTGACATTTGGCTGCAATTACTACATTATTTTGTCATTTTGAAACTTCTCAATAATGCTAATGTCTAGCGGCCAGATCCTGATCACTGTGCTCACATGAGCAGTTATACCAACACCAGTATTTGTTCCCCTTTTCTAGCTAGGCAGGTCTCACATAGTTACCCTACACTGTTATGGAATAGGTGTATATAATTTAACAGCTCGGAAACAAATCCAATCCGATTCTACACTTTTTCTAAAAATAAATCAATTAATTATAAGAGACATTTCTCAATATGATTTTTGAACTTTTTAAGGGGACTACTATATTTAAATTAATTGCTTTTCTTCATTATATTCTATAGGGATTTCTCTCTTTAAGGCAGGTTGCTTTTGGAGATATTACCAGGGAGAAGTCTTTGTACTTATGCTAGTGTAAGGACTGCAAATGTGAGTATTTTTTACACGTAAGGTTATGCAGGGATAGGAAAGTCTCATTAAAATTGTCCTAATTATTATTTTTCCCCTTTGCTGACTGAATTACAAAAATGGGGGGAAATATTCTGGAGTAAGATGTAACTTTTTTTTTCTTTTTATCAATTTTCAAGAAAAATTAAACAGCTACTAGTTTTATTGGGGATTGACCAAAACATTTATTTTTAACATTTTTATTTTCTCTTAAAAAATTTAATTTAGGGGGAAAAAAGGTTTAAAATGATGTTTGAAATGAAATAGAAAATGCTTTTCTTTGCAAATGTCTAAATGAATGCAAATCTTAATTGTCCCTCTCCCGCCACCACCCCCCCACACACACTTTTTCTGGCCAATTTCATACCAAATTGGGCAGAAACTTTCAGTAAACTCCACACTCCATTTTTCTGCAAAAAAACCCCCAAACAATCTTTGAAATATTCCTACTTGCATAACCACAAAACTTCAGTCTGACTGTTGTTTACAATCACAATGGTCTAAAAGTGCATTCAGAGAAATCTTATGACTTTTGTACTTCTATAGATTACTTTTGCTATTGAACAGAACAGGAGAGAGAAGCCTTGCTACAGAATGCATTGTCTTACCTCTGATTGATGTCCAGCTCTGATAAAAGTGCAGAGGGGATCAAAAGCCCCTGTACCACAAGCCAGCAGGTGTGTCCTGTTGTAACGGTGAAGGACCCGGATGTAATTTGCACATTCATTCTAATGTAAAGAAAAAGAATGAATAAAAAAATTAATATTCATGAACTTCTAAAAATCACCCCACTTCCTCTGACAGTAGTCTGTGCAATGAGAAATTTTGTATTTCCCTAAGGCCCTCAGTATACCTTATATTTAAGATATGATTAACCTGTTAATTATGTCTTAAACAGTAACACAGCCACATGTTAATTAATGGTGCCACAAAATGCAGAAGCAGCCACAAAATTATTCCACAAAATATGTGGAATATTTTGGGGTCTGGTTTCCATGGCAACTTAAAATGAATATGTGGCAGGGTCCCTCACAATGATATTTGAGGAGGGGGCTTGGTTGCAGCTCCCCCAGTCCTGGAAGCATACCAGAGTCTCCAGTTGGCTGCAGACTCCAGTACAATCCCAAGGCTGGAACTGACAATCAGATGATTGTCAGTCCCAGCCCTGAGACTGCAGCATTTCACCAGGAACCAAGCTTTCAACTTGTAGTTCTTGGGATCAGGGAACAGATCAAGGCTGCAGACAGAGGCTTATATGATGTTTCTATGTCCCTCCCCTAGAGCACTATGATTGGAAGGGGACTCAGGGAAAGATCACAGTCACTGGCCAGCTAAAGATGTCAGTCTTTCACTCCCTGCTTCCCCTCCCTTTTTTCAGTTTCTGTTCCCCTGAAAGACTGCTTTCCAAATCTCCAATCTTTTCACAATTGATTTGGAGACTCCAAAATGATTCCGAGTTTTTCTTTCCTTCTCCTGATTCAATTCAGATTTGGTGATTTGGCCTGTGAAGTGGGCCAAATCTTCTCCTAATTGAATCGTGGACTGAAGCTTTGAACACCCCTACTAAGCATCTTTCCCAACTTCAGCAACAAATGAAGGAAGGGTCTTACAGAGAAGTGTCTTTACTACTTAGTTGGGATTCATTCCCTACAGGCTTCATCCCCTGTGCTCCAAAGAAGCCACAGTTTTTTGGAAGAAATAAATGTATAATCATATAATTAAAGAATGTATCATAAGGCATACACATGAAGGGGCCACATTAAGTTGAAAACAGCCCATACTTTTATGGCATGATCAATACAACTTATTGAACAGACAATTAAAAACAAAACAAAACAAACCCTCATGTAGTAGATAACCAGCAGCAGAAATGTCAGCTCAAATGATAATATTTTAACATAGTTATAAAGGACTGAAAATATGATCTTACAGAAAGTATCATGGAACCAGGCAGTACAATTGGGACATCCAATAATATTATATATACACATGGAAAGAGAGAAAAGTATATGTTAATACAGGCATTAACAGACTGTCTCCTCAGAATGCAGAACAATTATATACCAAAGTTACCTTGTGCAGCTCTGAATCTCTGGATTTTTTTTTTCATCTGAAACTCTTACAGAACTAAGGTGTTAGAGTTATTTGTTACTGAATATTTTTCTTATCTCTAACTGATGTTCAGCTCTGATAAAAGCTCAGAAGAAAATCTAAATCCCCAATATCACAAGCAAACAGGTGTAGTGTTTTGGCACAAAGTGATCAGAGCAACAGAGTTACATTTTTGGTTTGATTGAGACTGGTGTATATTTAAGGTGGTGCGCGCGCTGTTGAAATTAAGGTCCCTAATTCAATTGTCCTATTTAGTCTGCTACAAGCCTTCTAAAACAGTGTTTATGACTACAATCTTTAAAGTTTTACTGCTACAAGATGAACTGATAACCTTTTAAGAGCTTGTAAAAGTGGCTTGTTGTGTTACAAAATATGAAGTAGCAGAGAAACATGAAACATATGTAAATGGTAAATTAAAATTAAAATCCTTACATTTAATTTTTAGGGGTTTTTTTGTATCCCACTTGTTGTCAGTTATACATAGTGCAACTGACTTTGTACAGAGCAATGTGTGATTTGTGATGAACAACAGAGGAGCAAGTTAGGAGAAAATAGATTTATTTTTCCTGAGATTTTATGAATGGATTTCTGTTGTGGCAAATAGTATTAGAAACCAAACAAGCAAACAAACAAACAAAATATTTAAAAGAATGAGTTAGAGGAGGCCAAAATAAGTTACGGAAGTAATGCAGCTGCTTAAGTAGTTTTAAAAACAAAAGGAATAAAAATGGAGTATCTTGATACTCTTCGTTTTAATTTAGATTATTTTATTGTATTAGTATGATGAAAAATGAACAGAGAGTATAGAGTGATTAAAAATAGTTAGATTTCTCTGCCACTACTAGAATTTTCCATCCTCATGCTCCAGAACATAATCTGAAGTTTAGTTAGGCCCCATCTACATCTACACCTAAGATGTTACTAACCAATTAATCATGTCTTAAATTGTCACTCAGCCACATGTTCAATAGATTAATGACACGATAAACAGAAGAATAATCCACAAAGTTATTGCACAAAATATGTGAATACCTTTGTGGCTCATTACTATCATGCCATTAATTGAATGTGTGACCAGGAGCCCCTGTGGCTAGGAGCCCTGTCAGCTGATTGTGCCTCCCAGCCGGAGGCCCTATTGCACCTCAGAGCCTGGGAGCTCACAAATGACAGTGTGCCCAGCTGCAGGGGCATCCCAGGCACCCCCATGACTAGGTGAAAACAGCTGATATGGGCTTCCAGCTGCCAGGCACCCCGACCACTGGGAGCTCTTTTCACTGATGGGGGTAGTCCAGGCCTCCTCATGGTTCAGAGACTGCATGTTAGCTGTTCCCCGGGACTCCCAGCTGTGTGGTCTTCTGGGGAGCCCTTTTACTACTTTACTACACAGGAGTTTACTACTCACCAATCCCAGGCTCGCCCTGCATTGGCAATGAGGTGTCATGGGTTCTACTTCATAATCCCACAGTATTGTCTCCTGCCGTGCATGTGTGGCATGACAGAAAGTGCAATTGTGTAGATTATACATCAGATCTGGTTGTGCTTTTATTTGCGTGTCTAGAGGGGCCTTTATTCCATGCTTTCATGGTATTGCCTTCTTCTTAATGGGCCACAAACACCACAAGAAAGTACATTTCCCTCTAATTTCCTAATTTCAGTTTCTAGACTAATTTCAAAAGCACAGATACATGGAAATAATGTAAAAGGAGCACAGAAGCAGTTATCAGATATCTAGTAAACTTCAGAATTATTGAATTCAGCCTCACTCAGACAACAGATGAAAGTGTCTGGGGTTTGTTATTTTTTTCAACAAGATTCACACATTTCCTTGATGATAGTGCTTGTGGATTCCTATGTTAGTGCTTGTGCTATGGTCTTTACAGCTTCCTAAGTTACACCGGCAATATGCATTGTGGCTGTATTTATGGTTGCCTGTTTGCTGTTTTCTCTAAAAAAAACAAGTCCCTTTCTGTCCCATGTCCTAATTTAGTAGTGTAAGAGTAATGTAGCTGTGAGGGTTCAGAAATTATGTAAGGGGCAAGGATTCCTTACAGTATCTTTTATTTTACCAACTATGTAGTTGGAATACAGTTAGACAAGCTTTCAAATGCAAGACATTCTTCATCAACTCTGATCAGAATGAGTGGGGCACAGCATAACAAGGATCAGACAGGCCTGCTGCTGGTAGGTAAGATGTAAGAGTAACATAAAGTATAAGTATAGACCAAAGGCAGAGCCTACTTTCTATATCCAAGCCATTTTTTTTTAAACTGGGCCCTGTTGGTTTTAGTATTACTTGATAGAACTGGATTTTGAATACTCTGAAGTTGATGGATGCCTAAATCCAAGGCCAAGTACAGATGCTATGTTTCTATCTGGAGAATCACTGTTCTCCTGGTAGAAACTACAAGCATACAAGTGTTCAATAAATTTCCCAGGGGACACAAGCCCTAGAGGGCCTGGTTCCCACCTGGAGAACCTCCCCTACAAAACAGTGTCTTTCACAAGAATGAATGCCTGTACACTCCCCTAGTCTGGGAAGGGAGTGTAGTAGCAGGATAATGCTCCCTATGCTTCCCCAGACCAGGGAAATGTTCACTGCTAGAAATAAATGCCTGTTCAAGCCAAATTTCTGTTTTGGCTGCATGTCTAATTAGATGTAATAGATTTGTAATTAATGATACTTACAGCATCCCTCCCTTTAATTATGCATTCTTCTGCCTGCAGGGGTGTACTAGGCCAGTGTATCTAGAAAAAATAAAAATGAGAAGAGATTATTTAATATAAATATCATTGCAGACAGATAAATTAGCTTTTCTTCTTTGTTTGTGAAAAAAAAATTCTTTATACAATTTTCACTGATACTTTCTAAGTGGCAGTACTCTGTTATATTTTATATTGCATCAATTGCCAGTTATTAAGTTATTAAGCCAAATCGTCCAATTTTGTGCCCGGTTTTTAACTGTGGAGGTTCATTGTTCAAATCTAAAAGGAGGCACATTTTTCCTTACTTTGCATCTTTTGAACTTAATATCAACCTTCTGAATTGAAAAAGAACCCACATACTGGACCATTTTTGTACTTATTTAAGAACTGTTCTGACATGCTCTCACTGAAGTAAATGAAGTTTAGCCATTAAGTTCATGAGAGCGATATAGTCAATTACTATAAGAAAGACCAAATGGGACAAATTGTTTTTCAGTTACCTGAGGTACAGAATCTTACATTTCACTTCAGTTGCATGGTTTGAACGGGTGAAAACTATGTAAAACAATGATCTGAACAGACTAGAATGATGATTTCATTTCTCTAAACTTTAATAAGTTAAAACAAAAATGTCTCTATTTTGATTATATCATTTTCAAGAAAAAGAAAATAAAATTTGTGCTTGGACATTAACAGATAATATCAAAGAATATTATAGCAAGTGTATGCCAACATGAAGCTAGCCTATCACAGTGTTGTTTTAACTGAAAAATAATTTAAAAATAAAATTATTTTTCTGTTTAGTTTCATGTAATTTAGTTAACCTAGTTTCATTAAAGTTTAAAAAATAAGACTAATTATAAACTATCCAAAGTACAGGGAAAATTTAGAAATCCTGGATATCAATCATAGTGCACTTAAATGCAAGAGTCTGAAAATATGTGGTATGTAAAAGACTTATAGCTTAAATAATCTCTTGTACTTTATAGATGCATTCTTGAGACTGCCCTTTTTATTAAAAAAGAGAAGCCTGATCTATGAGACTGAACTTGTCATGTCTGACAGTAAATTCATATGGATGCACCACATTAGATTTTCTCCCCATTCTACCAGTCAAGATTAATTTTAACATGTTCACTACATCTAACAAGATGAAGAACACATACAGGGACCAGCTTATGTTACCTTATTTCTTCAAACAAACTCATCTACTTCATTGTTTCTAATGTTAACATCCATGAAAAGATTTCTTAGTTGAGATGCCATTTTGCACGGGTTGACCTATTTGTCATTTATTTACATATAAAGTGATAGCAAATATGTAAATATGTAGTATTTCTACAATATACATCCACTATTTTTAATTACCTAGATTTAATTGTTGATTTTTCTTTAGTAGTGATAATATAGGCTTTGTTTGCATTACATGTAGAGCCAGATTCTAATTGGATGTAAATGGTAGCCTTTAACCTAGCACGTTATTTTTATTGATGTTTATAGAGTTACTTATGATGACTACAGACTTAATTTTGCCAGGATTACAGTCTCTTGGCATGATGGCAATGTTTATAGTTGAGAGGTTTCTTCAGTGCATGTGAACTAGAATAACATTATATATACAACACACTTTATTGGTCTTCATGCCTGACCTGAAGTTTGAAAAGAATTACTCAATAACTATCGTCATTATAAGTCATCATCTGATACATATTTTTTAATTTAAACTTTAGTGATGCTTTTCATCTAGCACAGCATTATTTTCACAGGTCACATGAATCTTGCTGCTAGCACTGAG